TCTTCCTTCCTTCCTTCCACACCTCCTTCCTTCCTTCTTCCACCTCCTTTCTTCTCATTCTCATTCTCATCTCCTTCCTTTCCTTCCTTTCCTTCCTTCCTTCCTTCCTTCCTTCCTTCCTTCCTTCCTTCCTTCCTTCCTTCCTTCCTTCCTTCCTTCCCTCCTTCCTCCCCCCTCCCTCCCACTGGCTCATGAACAGAAGGTTCCATAAATAGAATACTGGTTTGATGACTTTGCAAGCTTCCTGCCTCCATAACCCAGATAAACCAAAGGGTTAAAATGGATAGGAAGACCTAGTGGTACCCTGGATCAAGGGGATACCAGGCACTTCCTGGAGAAAATGGACAGGATCTCTCATAAAGAAGACTTTTATCCTAATTAAAGGTGTGCTGTGTTATATTCAGAGACCTGACTGTTTGAATACACTTTGGAAATGGGCTTTACAGTTTGATGATCGTGAAACTGATTTATAAGCTAATTAGGTGCTCTTGGAGGAAATTGCTTATCAGATTTACATTCCACTTTTCATCAAGAGGAAAGGACAATGCTCCATATAGTCTACCACCCTGCCAAGCCATCCACTGCAGAAGGAATTAGAAGGATGACCTTTATAGGAAAGAACCATTAAAGAGACAGTTGGAGAAACAATTCCACGCTCCAGAGGGCGAAGCAAGGGTGAGTAAGAAATTCATCATAATCCCACCTTGATTCTGCTAGTTTAATTTGAATAACCTTTCAAGATTGATGTCAGCTCTTCAACATTGGCCAGCTCAAAAAGAAAAACCCAAAACCCCAAAGCAACAGGTATGGTAGGGAGACCAAGAATGCTAACTATTGTAATAGAGCAGCGTTTCTCAACCTCAACAACTTGAAAATCCCAGAATCCCCCATGCCTATATGCTGGCTTGGGGGATTCTGAGAGTTGAAGTCCACCCGTCTGAAGGTCCTTGAGGTTGAGAAGCAATCTAAAAGTTGGGCTGTCTCAGTTAAGAATGGAGAATCACGAGTAAGGAGAAGTGGAATAAATTTAATCTCTTCTCCTGGGGGAAAAAATTTCTTCTAGTATAGGGGTCTCCGAACTTGACAACTTTAAGACTTGTAGACTTCAAATCCCAAAATGTTTAATATCTGCCTGAGAAATTCTGAGACTCAAAGTCCACAATTCTTAAAGTTGTCAAGTTCGGAGACCCCTGTTCTAGCACTAACAATTTTTTTACATTAGGAACTATCCCCTTTGCCTATGTTATTCATACCAATAGACATTCATGGTATCTTAGTCTGGGGAAGAACAAGAGGGAAATTACTCCTCTCTGAGGCTGGTTACTTATCTTGCTTAGAAAATGGCTTGCTACCATTTGCAAAGAAATAAGTTTCACTTTAAAAAAGGGGGGGGGGTCTATCAAGAACTATTTGGAACTGGGACAAGCAAACATCTGTATTATCCTAAAACAACCCATTTCCACAAATAAAATATTGATCACTAGAGGAAGAAAATCAATTAAAGGGAAACAGAGTAAAATGAGAAGGATGGGTTTGCATTTCATCAAATGATAATCAGAGGATCAAACAGCGTCATCTCCATTATCTGCTTACTGTCTGAGTGTGGATATGTTCAGATTTTCTTTCCCCGGGTTTCTAAATGTTAAAAAAAATGTTTCTTGAACAACACGATTCTGGATCTGAAAACTAAGAAAGATTCTCTTTTGCTCTTTCTGGCCTTACTCTGTTACTTTAGTAGATATAAATATATATATGCATAGATATAAATGTAGATATAAATATATATATGCATAGATGTAAAAAGAAATCATTGCAGTGAAATTTGGCTTCTGGCAAGAAATTTAGAAAAGGAAAGATGGTCCCTAAGTTGAATTTAGATTTAGAAGCTGCCTGTCTGTTCTGCCAAGGTCAATTTAGACTTTTTGAATTTGTCTAGTTTTTAGCAGAAACTCATTGGAGGGGGTGGGTATGTAGCTCAGCAGTCGAAAACCTTTTATACCAAAATTCCCAGATTCACCTGATTTGAAACCCTTAGACTTTTATCTACCAGTGTTGACAACATAAGGCTGCAGGGATGAATGGCTCGTGTTAATAATTGGATTTCTACATCATCTTATACCCCAGTCTGATTTAAACAAATTCAGAACAACCGCTTTGGCTGGGGTTACACACTAAACTATAAGTTTACAATCCACAACAGCTGAAATTCAAGCCTGAATGTTATGAGTAACAATCTGGTTGAGCTTCAGGTATGAGCCCACCTGAAAGAGATTTGAAGCTTGGCTTGCTGTATCAAATGAACAGAGATTTTAACTTATCCTTGCTTTCCGCTTAGTTCAAGTCATGTATGGACTCACAGGGATAAATGAATGGTGAAAGACTGTTTTATACACATGCTTGGGAGAAGTACCACTTAGACCGGGGGTCTCCAACCTTGTCCACTTTAAGCTTGGAGGACTTCAACTCCCAGAAATCTGGGAGTTAAAGTCCTCCAGGCTTAAAGTGGACAAGATTGGAGACCCCTGACTTAGACCATCATGCACTGTATCTTTCTCTAGCAAAGAAGTTCTGGGATTGAGCAGGGCTGGCTTAAAAGGAAACCCTGGCTGTGCCAACTTGAAAAAAATACCTACCTCCCACCTCCAGCCCCTCTTAACCCATTGGTACCCACCTTGGTATAGCAGCATGTGATGAGCACCAGAGGTAGAAGATAACCGACCACGAAGATGGTCACCTTGTACATTTGCTTGGCTCCTGGATTGCCATGCCAGAGTTCCCAACAGAAAGAGCTGTTGGGTGCCTGCTGGTGCCCGTTAAAAAGTTCCTGGTGCTCCGCCACGGGGATGGCAAAGAGGAGAGAGAGGAACCAGATGACGGCCACCCCAAGAGTGGCATTGCGCTTGCTTCGGATGCACAGGGAGCGCTTCGCATGGACCACAGCAATGTAGCGGTCCACTGACATGGCCACCAAGGTGAAGATGCTGACGAGCATGGTGGCCATGACGAGATAGTGCACCCACTTACACAAAAAGGCACCAAAGACCCACTCGGGCAAGGAGTAGATGGTGGCCTGGAAGGGGACACAGAAGAGAAGGAAGGAGAAGTCTGCAATGCTCAGGTTGAGGATGAAGATGTTGGTGGCACTGCGGGAGGGACGTCCACCTGGTGGGAGACGGCCAAGTACCACCAGCACCAGTGTGTTCCCCACCATGCCCAGTAGAAAGATCAGTCCAAACAGCACGGGGATGATCACTCTCACTGGTCCATCTCCTGTCATGCTTGGCCAACAAATCGAAGCGTTGGCTTGCTTGAAATCAGTGGTGCAAAAGGGGACATTGGTTGCCACCTCCTCCATGGGGGGATCTCTTGAGGGGATGGCCCCACTTTGGGGGAGGTTTCCAGGAAAATAATGGATCTGTATGTTTTGCCTATAAGTTGTGGAAGTTCTTGATCAAGGCTTCTCCCCCCAGATGGAGATCTAGTGGGTTCTATATGCTTGGTCTGACTTCAAAGATCTTCTCCAGGTTGATCAATAAAAAGCATTTCCTTCAAAAGTTCCAGTGGTGGATTGGGCATCTTGAAGACTTGCTTTTCTTTGGTGGTTGCCCAAGATCATCACCCGGAGTCTCATCAACCCTTGGAGATAGAGAGAGAGAGAGAGAGAGGGCTGCTTTAAGCTGCTTCCAGCAATGCTGCCGAGAAAGCTAGTGAGCTGGGCTCAGAGCAGCTGGCTGCAGCTCCTCCTCTTTTCACTCTGTAGCTTGAGGGAGGGGAGAGGGCTCTTTCTAAGCAAACACAACACAACAACGTAGGAGTTTTCACACCAGATGCTTGAAAGCATTGTTTTCTCCCCATGCTTTCCCTGTCGGTGGTGCAAATCACAACCAGAGACACTGCTAAAAACCTGGTTCTGCCCTGCCATGTGCATCCTCTGCCCCAACCTGTTTTGTTTAGTGGATCTCAAGGAAGGTGGGTTGCCCCGGTCCTGAAAACCTTGTGATCCTGCAACTGAATCAGTGGTGGGATTCAATTTTTTTTTGCTACTGGTTCTGTGGGTGTGGCCTGGTGGGCGTGGCAGGGGAAGGATTATTGTAAAATCTCCAGTCACAGGTGGGATTTGCCGGTTCTCCAAACGACTCAAAATTTCCGCTACCAGTTCTCCAGAACTGGTCAGAACCTGCTGAATACCCACCTCTGGACTGAATTCACACACATGAACCCAAATGTGGTTTAGATCAGGGGTCTCCAACCTTGGCAACTTTCAGACTTGTGGATCTCAACTCCCAGAATTCCTCAGCCAGCTTTGGATTTCTGGGAGTTGAAGTCCCCAAGTCTTAAAGTTGCCAAGGTTGGAGACCCCTGGTTTAGATGACTTTGGCTTGGTGTGCAGTTGTAATTCAATGGTCGCTTTGGGAAGGAGATAGGATGACCCTGAAGCCTGTGGGAGACTCATCCCATCCTACAGATGTGCTTTGCTAGGTTGAGACATATAAACTGACCATGCCCCAAAGCTGCTATCAAGTCTGCTTGTTGTAAGAATGTTGTAAGAATGTGCTTGATGGCTTTATCGAGCTGGTGGCCTCTAAAAAGGAAGCTGATCTGGAGAAACAACACATTCCCCTTAGATGGATGCTGTAGAAAAAAAAAATTCAACTAATGGACTATAACTACTGCAGGGGGCGAAAGTCTGTCTTTTTCATTTAGTAGAAAAGAAGTGTTTGCAAGCTGGTGATGGAATAATGACTGTGCCGCTAGAGGCAGACTTAAGGGAAAGCCTTATGTCTCCGCCTGCTTTGATCCTCAATATGTATCTGTTAATAAACTTGCCTCGTACAAGCTTCCTATATTGCAAGAGCTCTATCTTTTCCTAAGGGAGACAGCTTAGGGAGAAAGTGACTTTTGAAAACTTCTCTCGAAGCAGAAAGTCTGAAATGATGTCAAGACCCTGGTAGCTCAAAGGAATCTACTGGAAGGTAAAATCTCAAAAACTTAGGGACAAAGGGATCCCGAGAAGGAATCAAACTGAACCCGAGAGGATCCTGAGAGGCGATAGGGAATCCCCAGCAAAGCGAAGAGAACAAGGGAGCCAAGGAGGGACTTGAAAATCCACAGTAGATCCAGAGATCCCAAGAAGGGGTTGAGTACCAGCTGGAAAGAAGCGCATCTGGGGAGGGGATCGCCCCCCCCCCCTTTCCTGCAAGGGCAAAATGACCCCCCCTCATTTTAGACCTGACCAGGTAGAAGACCAGCTGTGTGGGAAGCTCTGGGCCACCAATGAGAAGGAGCTGGAGAGGCTCATGTAGTTGCTGTGCTTCTGTGGGTCCTCTGGGCTGGATCCCCTGGCCAAGAGGTCTCTGGCCTCTGTGGTTGAGGAGGCCCTGACCCTCTGGCCACAGAGACAGATAACAACTGATAATCAGAGTTGGAGGGGACCTTGTAGGTCATCTAGTCCAACCCCCTGCCCAAGCAGGAAAACCTTCACCATTTCTGACAGAGGGCAGCCCAGTCTCTTTGTGAAAGCCTCCAGTGATGGCGCTCCCACAACTTCTGAAGGCAACTTCTGTTCCATGGGTTGATTGTTCTCTCTGTCAGAAAGTTTTCTCCTCATTTCCAGGTTGAATCTCTCCTTGTTCAGTTTCCACCCATTGTTCCTTGTCTGGCCTTCAGGTGCTTTGGAAAATAGCTTGACCCCTTCCTCCTCTCTGTGGCAGCCCTTCTGGTGAGACCCCCAACCCTGCAGCGGCGGAGACCCCCACATCCTACCATGGCATAAGAACCACCACCCATCCCAGCCAAGGAGACCCTGCAGTCGCCCAACAGAGTCTGACTAGAATGCACCTCAGCATTTGTGGGTTCCCATCAGTGCCCACCTGAACAGGGGCTGGAGAAAGCATAGTGGGAGCAGAGGGCACAAATAAACTCTGTACTTGCTCAGAAAAAAGAAAAGAAAAAAGGACACAGGTAGCTTTTCTCCTGAATGGGAACAACCAGTTAAGGCTCTAAGGCACTGTGGGAGTGTCAGGCCTAATCCTCTTGTAGCAAATCTAACTTAATGTTATGGCCGAGAATGGCCAGCGAAGCTGGTGGCAAACTCGGACAGTGAGGAAGTTGGGGAGGAACACGGGCCAGTCCTGGAGTCTGGGGAAAGGCTCTGATGAGTGCTGTGCATCGGAGGCAGAGATGGGGCCAGGGCCATCTGACAGTTATCAGCTGACTTCAGAGTTGGACTTCAGTGGGGCAGAAGAACAGCTGGAGCCTGTTCCCAGTGTGCACATGGGCAGAGCTGCCAGATGAAGAGAACAGCTGAGGAACAAGGGTCAACTTGGGAGTAAAGCCACAGGTGGATGGTGAACGGCTCGTCCCTTAGAGTATAAAAGAGGAGCGAAAGGGGAGTGAGGCTTTGCAGGAAACAATTAGTTCACTCTGGCATGCTTGCCAAATATTGTGACATCTGAAAGGTATCAGCCTGGCCTCTCTCCAAGCCTGGTAAAGGTCTGTCATTGGGAACCATCATGAAAGACTGTTGGCCATGACTTTCTTGGAGATGAAATTCATTGTAAATCCAATAAAAGGGGTTTATCGGGACGAGGACTCAGCTTTGGGCTGTTGGGGAAAGCCTAGGTCAGAACACCTAATTCCACATTTGACCCTGCCTGCCAACCAGGACGGTTGTTCTCCAACAGATGGGCTGCAGTCCCCAAGGAACACCCAGGGTGGGATGCTAGATCGGTGAGAAGAGGAGATATTGAGATAAGGAAGTCTTGCAAATACTTCCTGTGCATTTGGATTTATGGGATGGCTGGGATGATGGAAGATGTCAGCAAGGAGCCCACTTCCTTAAACGTGGTCCTTGACTTGATTAGACACAAGGACAGTTTTTTCCCAAATGGGATCACTCTGCTAAACAACTAATTCCTATAACACTGTCAAACTATTTAGTAAGACAATTACTATTCTTCTTCTCGCCCTTCCTATTACCTATCTCTTCCAATTTATAATTATAGCCATGTTGCTTGTATCTTTACAATTTATGTTGTTTTTGTTCCTTATTATGATTTTATTGCTTATAGTAACCTATGACTACCACCAAGTGTTGTATTTTGTGATTCTTGATGAATGTATTTTATTTTTTCTTTATGTACACTGAGAGCATATGCACCAAAGACAAATTCCTCGTGTGTCCAATCACACTTGGCCAATAAAGAATTCTATTCTATCCTATAATCATGGCTGCTAAATCCAATGGTCAAGTATTGAAGGAGTGGGTAAAGTATCTTATGCGAACTCCGCCAATAAATACTCCAATGTCTGAAATGATTATTTCTTGAGGTTTTTTCCCCCTTAGATGTGGCAAAATAAAGGCTACCCTGGAGCAGATCAAGAGTTCATTTTTAATTTCCGATCACGGCCCTTTAGTGCCTCTGCAAAACTCAGAAGTGAATGTTTTCTTTCGCTTCTCTCCTTGAACAATTCCCTCTGATATGAGAGCCAGCACTAAAATGATTGTCATTTTTTTGCCAGCCTGTTGATATCAGATTAATTTCATGGCTGAGGTAGCATCTAACAGCATCTGCTTCAGTAGTGGAATTCAAATTTTTTTACTACTGGTTCTGTGGGCGTGGCTTGGTGGGCATGGCAGGTGAGGGATACTGCAAAATTCCCAATCCCTCCCCACCCCACTAGCCTGCTTTCCAGCTCCGTTCTCCTGTGCAGGGCAACAAAAGAAGTACCCAGCCAATCAGCTGGGACTCAGGAGAAAGAGGAGGTTCTGATCAGTTCTGGAGAACCGGTAGCGGAAATTTTGAGTAGTTCGGAGAATCGGCAAATCCCACCTCTGACTGGCTCCGCCAACCCCATCTCCTCTGCCTCCCAACACACATACATCCAGCGGACACCCTTGGCTGGTGCTGCTATTGAACCTGCCATGATTGCAACCTACATGAGACATTTTGAGGCATCTAAATAAATATATTGCCAGTTATTAAAGTAGTAAATGAAGCCTGCAACCCAGATTGTAGTGCTAGGTGATCACAAAACCAACCAGCTAGTCAAAAACAACAACAACCATATTCCAAGTGTGGTTGCATTCTATCATTCTTCTTCTCATTTTCATTTTTTATTTTATTCTTCTTTTCATTCTATTCCTTCTTTTGCAAACTTTGTCTTTTTCCATCCTTTTCAACACTTCCCACGCGTGTACCTTTGGTTTGAAGGTCAAAGAGAGAGAACATTGTCTTCCACCTTTCAGCTACAAAGCCTGGAATAAATATAATTAAACAAAGATTGTGCAACAAAAATCACAATGCACAAAATACGATCACAGGCTGCAAACTATCTGACAACCACGCCCAGAAC